ATTATTGTTTTGTATACTTTAATTTTCAGGTTCTTATAAATCAGACGGGAAGATAAAATATTTTGAAGCAATAATTAAGAAAATTTAGTGATTGCCACAGAAGTTGCATAGGGCAAATTTGTTGTGTGGAAGAAGGAGAAACGTGATGTGAGAAATCCAGTAACTAGACTTTGCTGGACGTGTGTAAATTTATATTTCAGAATTGGAACTGTTGCAGCCACGGCCCTTGACGTTTTCTGGACAAGTAGTACCAGTAGGTGGAGAGTAACAAGTAAGTGGCAGTGTTAAATATCAGTATTATAACATAGTCCTAAAAAAGTAAGGTTATGTAAAGAGGCTGTTTGGTTCATTGCAGAATCTTGCAGCTAAATAGTTGGTACTCTTGCTCTGTACTTGGAAGGGCTTGGAGACTACAATTTCATGTACTACAATCTTTCACTTGTACTACCAATGATGAACTTCGCTATTTTGTCAGGTTGATTTTGGCGACACTGGTTTACTACCAAAAGCTGTACGAAGAATTCTGCCCATCCTTCACCAAAGAAGCTGGCTTTCAGAGATTATCCAGCACAGTGTAATCCTGAAATACATGAGCCACATGACCCAGTCTGTTGTTATGGGTGTTATTAAGTAAAAATAGCCATATCATCTCTAGTGATGATGTAGGATTTCCCATATTGAAGATCTGCCTCAGTTTCATTTCAGCTGGTGCACCTTTTCGTCAGTTGAAGCTCACGGAAGTATGGGGCATGGTTCGGATGTCAAAACAAAAATCCATCACTTGAGGCAGATGTAAATATGTAATTCTCAATTTGGGTGGCATGTTTTCAAAATGTTATATTTCTTGTGTATGATCAGTAACAGGTTTCGACTTTGATGATGATGACATGCTGTTAAAAATGATTATAACAATATCACTTGAATAACAGTTTGGTTTATTGCATTAGGATTGTTAAAGCCAATCAAAATATTTGTCATACAAATTATGTTCGACTACATTAGTTAAGATGCCACTGCAATGTAAAATAAATTTTCATATTGTTTTATTTGGAGCAAGTCCTGTTTCTTTTAGTAATGAATTATATTTAGAAATTATTAAACCATTATAATTACTTGTGAATCATGTCTTTGTAATGTACCCATTCCTTTATGGTGTGTTTTGCCGTAATCCAGTAGTTCAGATGTTTTGTGTGAGGCTGTTAAATGTGAGCCTTTCTGCTGCTGTGGGTAAAGTCTTTTATTTGTAGGCTCACAAGGATTAGGTTTCTGTTGAATGACTTACATCGGAGTAAGCATTGTCCATAAATATGCATGGTAGAGTCAAGAAGTCTGTGAGCTTGCCTGTTGCCATGGCAAGTTTTACTGTACGCCACCATAGAAGTAGTTTCTATCCATTAACACTCTTCTGCCAGTGGTCGTACCACTGCTTGAAACCTCCTGCAACATTTTTAAATCTTGCCATCGTAATCACTTTCTCTTACAGTCATTAAATATTTGCATTTTGTTCACATTACTTGGCAGAGTCTTGGACAGTCTGACTGAGTGTCTTGGTGCATAGTTTTCATCTACTTATCCCTGCTTATTTGAGATGTCCAAGGTTAAATGGTGACGAGAAAATTGAGTTCCGTTGTTTCTTCTCAGTCCCTCCAGTTGTATCTTATGGCAGGCCATGACAGTGTTCTCATTCTCAGTTATCTCGTTCAACATTCGGTTTGTGACGGACAGATACAAATTGTGATAAAACATGCACAATGGTTTCATCTTATTGTTGTAGCTTGAACTAACATTTATTTTGAATTTTTCTTAAGATGGATTTACATGTTTCAAGAGGGCTCTATGTGGGTGGAACAGTTGTTAATTTTTGTCCTCCCATCTCATATTAAAAAAAACTAAAGATTAAAATATACAAAAGTATAATTTTGCCAGTTGTGCTGTATGGGTGCGAAACTTGGTCTCTCACTTTGAGGGAGGAATATAGATTGAGGGTCTTTGAGAACAGTGTGTTAAGGAGGATATTTGGACCTAAAAGGTAGGCAGACAGATTATGAGAAAATTTCATAATTATGACCTTCACTTCACGGCCTGTACTCCTCCCCTGATATTGTTAGGGTGATTAAATCAGGGAGGATGAGTTGGGTGGGACATGCAGATTGCATGGGGGAGGTAAAGGGTGTTTACAAGGTATTGGTTGGGAGGCCTAAAGGGAGAAAACTGCTGAGAAGACCTAGGCATAGCTGGGAGGATAAAGTTTAGAAGGACCTCGGGGAGATAGGAATCGATGGAGCGAACTGGATGCAGCTAGTTCAGAATTGAGTTCTGTGGCGGGCCTTTGTGAACACGCTGATCAACTTTTTGGTTCCATAAAGAGAGTGGGCTATTCTTTGACAAGCATAGTATACAATCGAATTTTCAAAGAATTTCCTGCACCATAGAGTGAGTGAGTGAGCAGGCACACATCACATGAAGAGCATGCTTCATCAAAAGTTTATTTGTTCCTCGACTCAGTCTTCTCTGCCTGGTGTCAGAGGTCTAAAAAACATATTTAATTTGAATCAAAGGCTCTGTTTCTATCACAGGAAGTAAATATCATTCCTCTCCCTCTAATGCAACAGAGTTCATTGAGAATTCAAATTAGCTTGGATTGTGTGAACTCTGCATTGAGTTAACAAGAAGATTACAATTTATTCATACAATTATGGGTCAGTCTAAAAATAACTTAATAATAAGTGTGTTGAGGCAAGAACAGTTTCCAGAAGATTTGAAATAGCGTCTTGAAAAACTCATGGGTTACTTGAGGACATTTGGTGGTTCTTGCAGCCTCTCCATAGGAATGCCTGTCTATAACATCAGCCAATCAAACAACGCACCACGGTCGGAATGACAAGGAAAAGGTTAAATGGACCGGTAGGGCGACTACTGTTTCATGATGTGGGACCTGTGAAATGTAAATACTGTTCCATTCATATATAATGCACTCGCGCTGGTTTGTTGTGCATCGTGTGGTACTTTGGGGGAATTTCGTTGCCAGTGAGCACAGATTACGGGTAAGCCGTGCGAGTAATTTACGACCGTAGAGTTGTATTGTCTGTGTAACGTAGGTCGTTACTTCGGAGTAGTTGTTTCTAAGTTCGGTTGCTTGTGGGTGATATGATTGTAGTAGATCGTACATGAAAGGCATTCATGTAGATTTACAAAGGAATTATGGGAGAGGGTTGTATATTCTTATAAAATGTCACTAGAAAAAACACGTTGTGCAGCAGTAAACTGCAAAAACACTACTTCAGTAACACATAGGTTTCCCAAAGATTATGAGAGGTAAGGTTATGTCTTTCTAACAAAAATTACTACTATTACGTAATAGTATTGGTAATCTTTATTTATGTGTTGTGTAGAGGGATGAACAGGTTGTGTAACTATTAATATAATTTTATATTTTTGTGTCTCCCGGCAAATAATTTAAAAGTAGTATAAATGACATGAAGCCATTCCTCTGTTTGGAAAACTAACATGGCAAGCTTATGATGCAGGTTGCCGACGCAGTACTGTATGAAAGTTATTGTTTGCCTACTTGAGTGGCCCTCAAACGTTTGTAACTGTGGATCCGACCAATTTCAGATTATAGTACAAAATCATTTAATTTCTCTATTAGTCCATTTTCTCAGAGGTCCAGTTTAAAATTTTCCCATTTCTGTCTCTCTTAGTCTTGCACATAGCCGCTTCATCAAAATTGTATACATATTTTCTTGTTTCTCCAATCTGACATCTTGATTTAACGATGCTAACTGGAAAGTATTTATAAATTTTAGAATCCTTTATCACATACCCTTAAAACCCATTTAGTTTCAATATATTAGATATAGCTATTTCTCATAGTGTTTTTGTAGTTTATGTAACAGATGAATGATTATGTATATGTATCACTGTTTTTAGTACAGTAGATTCCAGTTAATTGGGGCATCCATTTATTTGGGACAAATCTTAAAGAACAAACCTTTTTAACTCTTTACATTGAACTTCGCTTAATTGGGGCAGCCGCTTAATTGGGCCAAAAAGTTCTAGTCCCGATGTATTCCAATTAACCGGAATCCACTGTATTTAGAAAGTAAATAGGACTGTAAGACTTCTTTAACTGAGTTACTGTTCTGTAAATCTGGTTTCCAGCTTACATTCATCAATTTTTAATTTGAAGCTAATTAATGCTCATGTTTCGGTATGGTATTTATACTCTCATTCAAATAAAATATTGGTACCACTTATGCAAATTTTTTAAAGAGTTGCAGTTGTTCATATGGATGTGAAAGAATCTCACAATGGAAGTTGATTTGAGTGCGTACAGGAGTAAAGAAAAAACAGGAGTGGAGTATGGCAGGCTGATGCAAAGAAAGTTGTGTAAACTTGTCAAGTGGGTTTTTTTTAAAGCAATAATTTTGGTTATATAAGTTACTGAAACAAATCGTGTTCCACAAATGGAGAAATGGTGGAACAACTCTTAGGTTATATGACAGCACAGTTTGAAGAAGGTGTGAGGATGTGAGAACTGCTAGAGAAAAATGAAACTAGCATGGAGGTATTGCAAAGACAAGAAAGGTATTTGGTACCAAATTAAATCACGTGAGTGAACTGACGAAAACAATAAAAGAATAACAGGAAATCATTAAGAATTTGATGAATAGTTTAGAGGTAAAGCAGAAAGTAATAGAACAGGAATCAAATTTCGTGGAGGAAGAAGAATTTGTTAATCTTTGAAATAGACGAATATCCACATGAATCATATTTTAACACAAAGTACTGAAAGATTATTTTGAGCATGAGTAGGATGGTGGGTGTTATGAATTATCATATAGTGAAATTATAATATTTGAAAGAGGTGCTTCTGACCAATTTTGGTAAGATTCACTTCATATTCAAAGAAAGTAGAAGCACTAAAAGGAACTAGAAATTTATGGGGAACAGGTATAAAGAATGAGAATGACAACGATGAGGCGAGAAGGATGTGCAGAAAATTAACTCCATATCTGAAAGGTGCTAGGAGACAAGACAATATAGTATTTATAGTTTTAGACAAAGAAGTGGTGAATTGAAAAATTCGTGAACTGCAGAATCTGAAGAAGAATTTACATGTGCAATTAGACATGCAAATTAGGGGCAGCCATGTGCATATGGAAGGTAAGGAAATGTGTCAGTGTTCAGTTCAAATGCAAGATTGAGAAATTCCAGAGCAGGGACATATATGATGAAAGGAGGGACGGACAAGTGGAAGAGACACCATTAACACAGCTCACAATAGCTAATAAAGGAGGTTGGAGATACCAGAAGCAAATTCACCACTCAGCCACTTGATGTGGCTTGTAACCTGAGAGTCTTTCATCAAACAAAATGTATGTTCATTATTAGAAATTATTGTGAAGCTGCCAGATCAGGAACTTTACTGTGGAATAAGCCAATAGTGTCTATTCCATTCAGTGCTAAAAATGCTGTACCATAGATATCTACAACTCTAACTGTATTTTTGTTTTTTCTGAAAATAAATTAATGACCCAGAAAAGCACCCCAACTGAAAACTAAATAAAGTTTTGCCTCTTTTTGAAAAACTGGAGAAGAAATTTATGGAGTTGTACGCTCCTAAAAGAGATGTTGCTGTGAATGATGTCTTCTGTACAGAAGAAACATTCTGCCTTCAGAAGACAAAAATTTAAAGTATAACAAATTGATAACAGAATTTATGTTCTTGTAATTGTGCTTGTGTTTGTCATATTTCTTATCTTGCAGATTATAACAACTTGGCTTTCAGTTCACAAACATTGTTTCTATATTTCAGATGCAGAATATGGGCAGAACGTGCTGGCTGCCTCAGTCTGTTAGAAAAAGGTGTAGATGTCCTTCATGCTTCATACAGACTCTGTTCAGATCATTTTCATGATGCTTCGTACACTTCCAGTAACAAAAAGAGGCTTTCAGTCCATGCTCTTCCAGAAATATTTCCTGAACCGTCTGGTAATTATCCTTCATCTTATAGCTAATATGGCTAGGTATGTTATGAACTGTACAGTGGCAGACTTTTGTGAATGTGGTTAAGAACTTGAGCTTCCTTGAACTTTATGGGAAGTTTCTGAATCATGAAGTTAGTTATGACCATTGCCAGTGTTCATCAGCTGGCGCTACGTGACACATTGTGCTCCAGTACGAGTATAAATGTGCTGTGTAAATAAATGTGTTATGTAATATAAATTTTCTTTTTGTTTGAAGGTAGAAAGAAAATATTGAACCTTGCAGTTTGGCCCAAAATCTCATTCTAATGGCAGGCTTGTGCAAGCAAGTTAAGTTGTTAGCCACAAAGTTTTCAATCTCTATAAAAATACCACAGGAAACTTATGTTCTCTCAAAAAGTATATTTTTATCATGTGTCATTGTTTCTTACCACATGCAGTGGACGTGAGGAAGTTTGAGTGATTTGCAGTATTTTGCATGTCTTATTGTAGGAAAGGACTGGATATATTCCACTAAGAAAAATAGCCCATGTTAACATGCAGAATATCGTTTAAGCTTCGAAAGTGAGAGTGAAATGTAAGGCTAGTGCAGGGATTTATATACTTCACTTGTCTACCTTGTTCCAGTAATCTCCTGTGTGTAAATATTTTGATATACTTAAATATAGCTCTGCATTATTTAGTTAAATTAATTTCCCTTCTGAATAAAAGAAGTGGAATCAGACTTATATTGTATAATTTTATTGTATCTAATAACATATTATTGCAACCAAAATGTTCAAAATTTAGTTTGTCTTTACTAAATATTGTTTATGTATCTCTTTACAGAAGGCTTGACATCCATAGAATACACTGCGAAAGTCACTTTGAAAGATCAGATTCCATTCCCCTAGTTCTTCTTCTTGTAGCGTTGTAACCCTATGTGGGTCTTTTTTCCATTCTGTCCTATCATTCACAATTCTTCTCCATCCCCTCACTCCCATTGTCCTCACATCCTCCTCCACGTCATCTATCCATTGTTTCCGTGGTCTCCCTCTCATCCTTCTTCCCATCGGTCTCCATTCCATCACTCTTCTAGTTACCCTCCATTCCCCTAGTATCTGCAACTAATAATTTGATGTATAATGTTGAATTTAAGTCCAAGTAGCTACTACTAATGGTGTACGATATTCAACTACAAAGGGTTGTGAATATGTTCAGAAAATCTTAACCTGCAGATGCTAAAAATTAACCAAATATTTCAGAATGTTCAGAAGCTGAAGATGAAAATTTTCGCACGTCCTTGGAATGTGGGGATGGAGCAAGTTTAAAATTATATGATTTACCAGAAGTGCACTCTAATCTTCTCTGTCGTACATGCGCGTATCCAAGCGAAGAATTGATCCCAGTGTTTGGAGACAAAGGTTTAGAACTACAACTGCTTGAAAAAATACATACACATCTACCTGTAATGGTAAATCAGAGCTTAATGTTATGTTCTCATTGTAAACCTAACCTAATACCACATTGCTTTACACATTGAACGTCTTGCTGAATTCAAAGTACTGGAACAAACACAGAGTTGAGAAAAATACCTCATTTCTAGAGCTTTGGAAATAAAAAGATTTATTATTAGAGATAAAAGTCTTCCTGCAGCAGAAAAAATTACCAGCAATACAACTCCTTATCTTCGTCACAGTGTATCACTTCCCAGTTTCTGTAATTTTGGTGTATTGTAGTATCAGTGATTGATTGGTTGTTGGTTGGCTGGTTGATTTATTCAAACTTGATTTTGTTCACTGGTTATTCCATAATGTCAAGGTTTCTGTTGAATGACTTACATCGGAGTAAGCATTGTCTGCAGCAGAAAAAATTACCAGCAATACAACTCCTTATCTTCGTCACAGTGTATCACTTCCCAGTTTCTGTAATTTTGGTGTATTGTAGTATCAGTGATTGATTGGTTGTTGGTTGGCTGGTTGATTTATTCAAACTTGATTTTGTTCACTGGTTATTCCATAATGTCAGCTGTGGACCAGTTTTACAACAGTAAGATTAAAATGTAATATAAATTTGGATCTGCATTTCTTGTATGCCATATGAAATTACCATAGTGCATCCCTCTCTTAATCTCCCTGTTTGTATTGCTTATGCTGCTACTGCATTAAGTCCAATGAAGCAGTGTTTGGTTTTGGCATTTCTTTGTGTTCTTTTGCTATTACCCATAGCCAACATTTAACCCATAAGGTATTAACTCTTAACATATGGGCAACCAAGATTTTATCTGCAAGTTTAAGCCTTTAGTCAGAAGTGAGAGTAAATTTTAAGCCACAGAGACTTTTAGTTAACATGCATGAAGGAGCAGTTTTCTGACAGACACCCACAGTTTGGCACACACAAACTCTTCTGTATATACAGGTGAGTCAGAAGTATGTTTACAAACTTCGTGTGCGTGTTCCAGGATCAAAAATAAGAAAAAATGTTCCTATGAACATGGGGTCGCAAATGCTTCATTTTCGAAATAATAACCAAAAATAATTTTTAATGTATGCCTTTATTTCCAAGTATAAGGACAGGGATGTATCTTTATAAAAGATGCTCAAAGGTTGTTCCTCCATTCTCCACATATGCACAAGCACGACGTACACAAGACTGAGGGATTCATTCGTACACACCAGGGTTTCCTCAAATCATCTGGCATGCATTCTGCACACGTTTCCATAGGTCGTCTTCTTTGTTTATGGGTGTTGCATAAACGACGGACTTCAAGTGACCCCACAGATTAAAGACCAACGGAGTCAGGTCCATGCTACTGGGCCACCACGCCCAATCCATCGCTGAGTGTACTGTTCACTGAGATGATATCTGACACGATGGGAGAAGTGTGCTGGGGCTCTGTTGTGCATAAACCACATTTGTCTTCTTGTATTCAGTGGTACATCTTCAAGGAGACGTGGCAAGTATCTTCTTAAGAATTTCTGATATGAAGGTCCTCTTAGACGCGATGGAAGCATGTGTGGACCAGTAAGCATGTCTCCAACAATTCCTGCCCAAACATTAATTGAAAATATTTGCTGGAAGCTGTATTCACTTTGATATAAAGTCAATTCATTGAAACTATTTTTGGCTATTATTTTGAAAATGAAACATTTGCGACCTCATGTTAATAGAAACATTTTTTATTATTTTTGATCCTGGAACACGCACATGAAGTTTGTAAACATACTTCTGACTTACTCTGTATAAGGTACTGTTTTATTTGTGAGGCTTAGAGCTCAGAATTGACGAGGTATAATTAACATTTAGTTCAGCTGCTAGCGACATTTTAAAATGTTCTTGTAGTATCAGTACATACAAGATCTAAGTGTTTTGCCTTGAATGCGTCTGATATTGAATATACATATGACTTACCAGAATATAGTAATAATATTGTTGCAACAAATGAAGCAATTGAATTGCCTTATGCATCTCATGATCTGTCAAGTACTGGCTAGGGGAGAAGACACACGGATAATCCAAAATATTTTGCTTGATGCATTCACAGAAATTCAGGAAATTGCTTATTTTTTTACACAGCTACCATTTGTTTTGAGAAATAGTTTGGAATGATTGGTAGTTTTTGTAAGATGTTTAGACTCCTCCTCACGATAGTACTAATTTCATTCTTATTCTCCCCACCATCCTCTTCTCCCTCGTTTACACAATGACTTTGACAGTGTCTGTGTGTTATGTGTTGGAAGCCCAGTTCATACACATCCCAAATATAATTTCCCTAAGACCCATTTTAATATCCTCATTCCACCTATTACTAGGTCATATGAGTGGTATTTTCCTTTAAGTCTTTTAAACTAGAATTTTGTGTGCATTTCTCATCTCCATCATGCACCCATATCATCCTCATTTATTTGGTCACCCTAATAATATTTGGTTAAGATAACTAAATATGTAGCATAGGTTCATAAAAAAGTAGTGGTGTTGTACGATGGTACTTAAAAATCTGATAGTTGAAGACTTAAATATTGCATGTTGGCAACAACTCTCTTCAGTTGATTAAAGTGTTTTTTGTACTGTGTTTAATGTAGGTAACTCCAGAAGATTTGTTGCCAATTTCTGTTTGCTCATCTTGCATCTGGAAGCTTGAAATGTGCCATGAATTAGTTCATACATGCTTGGAGGCAGATGCAAAGTTGAGAGCAGTTGTCGGCTTGGAGAGTAATAATGAGGTGTGTAAAATTCATTACTATCAGAACTGATAGATGAACTACTGAATATTGCTTATACATCATGTTTGCACTTAAATCTGATAGCCTAAAGTACTGGACTGTTTGATTGCTGGCTCTTTCTATGCACTGACACATTAAGTTTATCGTTACATGTGGATCGTGTAATAGTTGTTTCCTTCTTGCCCACACATTGGCAATGTTACATGTGGATCGTGTAATAGTTGCTGGAAGAGTATGTGTTTCCTTCTTGCCCACACATTGGCAACAGGCCCTCTTCACACAAAGTCAGTAATAAAAATCACTTTGTGTGAAGATTAAAGGATGCATTGGGCATTTAAAGGTTAAATTTCTAGTTTTGTGAATCATATGTTCCTAATGTCTTCTTTAAGTGATATAAATTTGTAACAATATAATGTCATGCAAGTTAGGTTCATTATAGTATATTGGACTCGGGTGCATGTGTTATGGGATTGAATCCTGGTCAAGTCAAAATCTTAATATTTCATGCAGCTGTCATATTGCTGTTTTACATTGTGCAAAGAATTACTGTGACTCAGTTGTGTACTGTTTGAATATCTATTGCCATACATCATTTTATGGCTCTGTATTAAGTGGCACAAGCGTTGCTTCCACCATGTTGGTACTACCAATTACAGGGAATTAAAAATGAAAGTGTAAGGCAGCCTTAAGTGGCACTGTGCCCATACCAGATTTGGGCTGTGTCCCATAAGGCATATCTGCCTAACTCACTACTTTGCCACACCTATTACCCTCCACCCACAAGGAACTCGCCATCACTGAGGGCATAGCTTCACAAAAGGTATTCTGCCCCATCCATTAGGGTGTCCCACATGGGGGTCTTTTCCCAGCCGTGTATCGTCTACTCATTCACTCTTTCAGTAGTTTTGTTTTGTTGAAATATGTGTTTCAGCTGAATGTGGCCATCATTATATTCGAATGGAAGTTTGAGGTTATTGCACTGGAACGGTATCACTTGTTCTTTCTCCCAGTGTTGTCTTAAGTGATAATAAAATTCGTGGTAAAATGTTTTACCTGTAATCTGATTATCATCATCTGGTTCCAATGCAATGACCTCAGCTTACATTCGAACCTGATGATGGCCACATAAGCTGAAGCATGTAGTTGAGCAAAATAAAACTACTGAAATAATAATAATCATCGAGAATCAGTGTAACACAGTAAGATGCTACAATACAGTTCTGTACAAATAGGTGTTACAGAAAATCAGCCTCTGCAAACATTAACGTTTTAAAACTAAATGGTGACTATGCATACCATCTGCTTTAGCCGTCAGTAATGCTACAGTTTAAATTATGGGTTTCATATGATTCTCACTGTAAACAGCATCAACCATTTGATCTTGGTAATGGTGAAATGTAGTATTTTCTTTGTGGTATGGACTGAATTCTTTAATATCATTTAGGCGAGCTGCAGCTTCAAAGGATTAAAACAAAGTCAGAGCCACTCTATGTATGCATGTGTTGTTATTTCTGTCTCTCCTTTGTGTTCTTTGTATTGGTGCTCAAAGCTCGATATATTAGACCTGTAAACAACAAATCAGGATTGTTTCCATTGAATTTTCAATGGGTTTTACACTAGTTAGTAATAATACTGACACCATTTCCATGAATCTTAAAACAAAATAAAAAACATTTGGTGAAACTAGAAAAGATTGCAAAGATCAGTATTGTGTATCTACTGTCCACAGATGACGAGAAAATCCCTGCAAGGGGAAGTCGTTTCTGGTCAGTGCGGGGGGAATGTTACTTATCAGCTGGACTAGAGGACTGCTATTGGTGGGAAGTGTGATACGTCACAGTTTAAGGCTACTACACACAGACTGAAAACATCAAGCAGTTGAGATTAGCGTGTAGTGAGCGCACCTCTAATGTGTTCTGCAAGTGTTGCGATAATATTCTATATTAAATCACTGTGTCGCTGTGAGGTAATCTTAAAGCTGTACCCATTAGAACACATGAAAGCCTGTTGTCTGTTGTTCAATGGTTGTGGAACGAATGCTTTTAGGATCGGTCGTCACTCACCGCGAAATCTTGCGCATGCGCGTATAACGAATTCCTAGCAGGGATTTTCTCCTGGTCTGCATGTATGTATGCATCGTTCAAAGATGATAAAAAATATTATGCAAAACTTACTAATAGCTTTGTATTGAAGGTGTTATTAATTTGTTTATAGGGACTGTACAGTGATGAATATGGTGTAGAATCCCAGTTTGATCTTGTCCATGATGCTTCATCTGGGATCAAAGACGAACCAGACTGTGATGAAGGGGCATGTACACTGGATGACTTAGCAAATCAGCAGCAGCAGCAACTCAATAGTGTTGGCTATGTTCAGCATGCGGATGAAGCACAGTCTTCCTATCAGACATTTGGTTTTATTAATTTCAAACAGGAAACAGTAGAAGGTGCAACTGACCATCAGTTTTACAACGCAGAAACTTATAATTTGTGCAATGCGCATGTGCCAGACAGTTCTGGTGATATTCAGCATTACGATCAAGCCAGTGAACATACATATAATATAGATGAGCAAGAATATGCAGTTGATAAACATCTTCAGTACCATAACAGTGATCATGTCAAGGATGTGGTAAGAAGTTCAACAAATGTTCACGAGCAAAATGTTGATATGATGACCCTGTAGTTCCAGTTCCTGCCTTCTTGAATCATACACATGTACACGAAGGCAACGTGATTATAACAAAATGCAGAGCAGTATGTTAAAATTATCTGAATTTTGCCTCAAATCCACACATTTTAACCCACAGTATAAAACATGTATTTGAAGCAGAAATGCTAACCTATGTTCTTTATAGTATAGTGCTTAACCCTCAGACGTGGTTTTACGTGTACACACGCGGGCATTTAAATTAAAGTTCTTGTGGATTTACGTATAAACACGCGAGCCTCAAAGCCTAATTTAAAACGCCCATAAGTATGGAATAAATAATGCCAGCAAGATGAGGTTTGTTCTCGCCTGTTGTGGAAATAAAGCTCTATGTGTATATATGTGGCAACAGTGGGATATTGCAATGACCTGCAAGGGACAGTCTAAAAATAAACGCCTGACCTGGTAGTTTACAAGGGCTCTCTCCCTTCGACTAGTTGTCCTCTGACGGAGCTAGACCAAATACAAGTTTTAAATGAAGTTTTAGAAGATGATAGTATAAGTGAATATAGTTCGGACGATGATAGTGTATTTGACATTGATTATACACAGTTTGTGACACCGGGAACTGTCGTGTTTAGCGATAGTGATTGTGATAATGGTAGTGG